TGCGACTTGCATTTCTCACGCTTGGTTCGTAAATCGTAAGCACGAGAATCGAGTTTCAGCCGATATTACGATATAAGGCAAGGGGTTCATTTAAACCGAAGTTTACCAGCAACGTGGTGGCAATGGTTTTTTCTGTCTTTGTATTCCTATCCACTGATATATGTATACACGATCTTTTAATACCTCTTCGGACGAAGGGCAGATTCCATTCCGATAGCTTTTATAACCGTTTTACCTAAGGCTACCTGACCGCGAGCCTAACCATGCGTATATTCCCTGCCTCGATCTTAAAGAGTTTACCTATTAAACGTGATTTCTATGCATAAAATCTATTATTAGTTCTCGGAAAACTATCTAACACATATATATATATATATATGTATAATTAATAATGGTGTTTGCTTTTCATAATTAGTTTATTATAATCTTTGATATAATATCCCAATGTTTTGTGGTTCGAGCGGTAGTTGGAGTGATTGGAGAATTGTAAAATAGCAGTTTCCTTGGAGTCGTTCGTCGTCGGTGGCAAATAAATCGAATAAAAATCTATGTATATGTATGTACGTAGATATAACGAGATAGACGACTCGAGTCTGTTTTCCTCGACCCGTCTGAAATTCATCTCACTTTCAGCGACGCGTGTACACATGCATACATGGTGAGGGTGTATAACGGCGTGGCGCGGCGTGGCGCGGCGCGGCGCGGCGCGACCGAACGACGTAGTCGCGACACACAGACGGCAGCTGTATTAACGGCGCATTGATTCGGTCGCGGGAAGCGAAAAATAGCTGGACAACGGGAGGAAATGCATAATTGTGGAATCGAGCGTAGTTAGGTCACGGTTCCTATTTTTAGTTCGGCACTGATTGCGAGTTCAAACGAAAGCAAAGGCCACCTGTGTGTGTCCAACGTTTACTTTGCGCGCGCGTTGCGCGTTGCGCATTGCTTCACCGTCTACACTTTTCTCGTTCTCTCTCCACTGTCGCTTCCAAGTAAACATACACGCGAGATCTCTCGTTGCAGACCTTTTCACACGATCCTTGATCCGACAAAGCTTCGGGCTCGCGAAACCACGGGGAAAGCCAACTCCCTGCGCACGTAAATTTTACTTTTCTCACGCGTACAACCTTTTCATTGTTTTTCTTTGTTTTTTTTCTTTTTATTCAGCCCTCGACGAGCCATGCCGTGTTTCCCGAATGCTAAACATGTTAGAGGACGCGACGCGTGTTTAACCATTCAATTTGCCGTTTTGTAATACGCGAATTCACGGAGACGGTGCGAGAAAGTGGACAGAGAAGGGAGGAAGAAATGTTATTCCATAGGTTCAACGCATCGAATGTCCATCGTTTGGTATTCGATCCGTAAGTAACGCTACGTTTCATTTCTCCAATTATCTTAACGATGCAATAACCGTGGGTCCGGTGCAGACTCACTCGACAAATACTGTATCGCGTGTTTGCTTTTACATTTGCAACACACATACATTATTCCTCTTTACGAGACCAAAGCGATTATTGGGAAAAAATCCGATAGCGCGCGTCCTGATCTCGATCGATTCGTCGATTACCGATCAATAACTCAACCAACGCAATCACCGAATTCGACGATTCGTTTCTCTTTCGTGGGATGATCGAGCCTCGCCACGTCGTCGCGTTCTCTCGGCCACCGGGGTGAACAATCACGATACGATCGCTCAAGGGGGAGACTGACACGAAATCCTAAAGCGTCTATAAATTGGAACAATTTTAAAAAACTATGGTACATTACTAGAGAGTAGTTGTTGATATTATCAGATTCGCGTAATTTAAAACGCCAGCGACAGAGCACAGCGACAAGGTAGCGGAAAATCCTTCGTAGATCGAGACTGGGAAACTTTAGTATTATCATTGGTCCGACTCGTACGAATAGTTTGATAATTTATCGACTAAATTAAAAAAGAAATATCTTTCTCGAATGAAATGCTAGTTTGGGCATTTTGTCGACTATCTTTTGCGCAAAGCATTCTCCAAAGCATCCTCCCGGAGCTTTTGTAGGTCTCTGTGCGAGCGACGAAACTAGCTCGCGATAGGTATAATCCAGCCAGGGCCAACTGGCCAGAATTCGGGCATTGGCACGTTTTGTCAGGGTAGAAAAGTTGTTCGGGCTCGGTGGTGGGCATGCGACGTGACTCACGTTGGTTGGGGTGGGTTACTGCAGAGCAGTAGGAAAGCAACGAGTACATACAGGGATAGAGGCGCACCTCGCATTCACAGATTTAACCGTACACCATGAAACGATGGCCCTGTTCGCGCTCTCGCGTTTATCGGTCGTAGCAAGCAAAACCTGCGCGCCCATCGCCCATCGCCCGTCGCCCATCGGCCGCCATCCGACCACGCTGCAATTTGCCCAATTGGGCATCGAGTTCAACACGGCTACTCTAATCGATTTGCCTTCTCGAGAAGGCAACATCAATTTTCCTTTTTTCGCGCTCGAATAAACTGCTTTCTTTAAACAATGCTCGAAAAAGTATCGTCGAAAAAATCATAAAATTCTATGAACTTTTTACGTTCGGACACACAATACCTTGGTTTATTTCCACGCGCGTATCTACAGACATTTTATAACATTCTGTTGAAACGAATAAATAATTGTTGGAATAAAAGTAAGCACAGTTCCGTGTTGCAAACTGAAAGTGAATGTCCGATTCTGAATAAGGAATTGAAAAAGGGCTGGACAAAGAATGGCTAGTACATATTTTCTGAAACAGTGATTCGAATTGACGAGAGACGAGATTAGAATAGTTGGTTAAGCGATAAAATGACTGGATAGTGGCACGAAGAACGGAGCGTCCTTCACCGTGTACGACTATGCGACGATATTTATCGGTTGACCTCGACTAAGAAAATCCGATCTTCGATCTCGAGTGTATCCAGCGGGCTTAAGCCTATCGAAATTTATCGCCGAAGCTGGCAGGCCTAGTCACCGTTAATCCGTGCCACATATTCCTCTATATCCGTTCGCTGATCTTATCGTAGATCCTGCATAGCTTTGCGCCGTAACTCACGCGTACTAATAGGACTGTTGCGGAACGATCTTTACTCGATATCGATATGTATTCTACTGCCTCTTCGCTGGATCGATACAGAGCTTTTTCCCTTAACGCGTTCACGCCCGTGCGATTCATCGATAGGTCGGACTGCAACTTGTTAAATATCCTCACGTTTCCAATGATTCGACTATTTTTGTCCATGGAACAACACTACGACCCTATTAAACGAAACATTTATAAATCTTTTCGCCGACTCCCGGGACTCGAACGAGTCGCAGCTATAACAAAAAATACAAACTAATTAAATAATAATAAAAAAAGAAAAAAAAAAGTATACACGTAACCGTGTAATTATTCGGTAACTGTAACTGTGTTTTCGGTGCTGATTTAATTACATATTTCGATTATTTTTATATGTTTTTCTAACCCAGACCTCAGTATACATACATATATTGGTCAACAATTTTCTTCATGTATGTAAGAAACGATAACTCGAATCGTACAAGGGCCAGATTAATTTAATGGCGAGTTCTAGTAAAACTAGTTACTTTTAGGGAAAGTTTATCAATTGTATTCGCGAAAAGACGACGATTGAAAAGGATAGGATTGCTATTATTATTATTATTGTTATTATTATTATTATTATTATTATTATTATTATTATTATTGTTGTTGTTGTTGTTATTTGGATAATTACTGGTGGAGGTTTCCGGGCGTAAAGAATGTCCTTTGCGGAAAGTGTTCCGACGTTTCGTCGAGCTCGATATCGGTGCGCAATTTTCTCGAAAAGAAGCTAGTTGCAAGGTTGCCAAAACGTCTGCTCGCTTTCCTCGGCTTACATCCGAAAGCGGTATCGACCGTTCTAATCCAAGTGGTAAATAAAATAAAATAGGTTTGTTCGAAGACAGATTGCGGGAAAGAAGATAACGAGGAGCAACTTGATCGATTTTTCCGTCGTAAAGTTTGATGAAATTTTACGTGTAAAATGTACGTAGTACCTAATTGTAAGTAAACGCGGCATCGAACGCGTAAGTAACTGTTATTTTAGTCGAAGCATTAAAAAGGTATCGAGAAACAAGTAAATAGGAGTAAATAAGAAGGAGGGGAAAAGAAAATAGGAAAGAATATTTGGCCGTTAGGTGTGGTGGGTCTGTAACCGTGATCGGATAAAAATGCGAAATAGAGAAGATGAAAGGTTGGTCGTGGTCCTGTTGTAAAGTAATTGCTCGACGATTGGAGGTACATATTTAGCAGGGTAAACGAGTGTCTCCGCGGGATAACTGTGCGCATTGAAACAAGACGGAAGAGGAACAGTGTCTGCGACAGACAGTTCGCTGCACGAGGGTTAAGCGGTGCATCGTGACAGAGGTTCGTGTCTCGTCTGTTCCCGGATGCGAGGACCGTCGTCCACGAGGAAAGCGGACTCGTCGTCTCGATGCGCACCGATACAAGAGGGAAAGAGCGCCAAGGTCCTCCCTCGAACAGCTTCAAAGAGCTACTCGATCGGACGCCAACTACGAGCCAATGCCTCGCGCGTAACAAACCTGTGAGCATGATATTTTAAACAGGAACTGATAGAGAAATAGGCCGTCGACCGTGTCGACCGTGTCTACCGTGTCTACCGTTTTCCACAAGGAACCGACCGCGTGAAAAACCGTGCCGGCCGGAACTGACGCGCGCGCCACAGTTAAGTAGACCCGAAATCCACTCTTGATCTCTCGCCATTTATACTACTCGTGATCTCGTTCGATCGTCCAACACTTTTTCTACCCTGGCTCGTTATCCTACCAGTTACACGTGAATAACAATTACTCTTCTCTTCTATTACGAGTATTAAAATATGTATATCTATAGAGAGTAGAGAAGCAGGGAAGCGGCGGCGAGTAGGTACGCGGGGCGAACTACCGAGAGACGCAGATTCGATCGGTAAGCAGACGCGAGGGGAATAAATGTTCGTGAAAGAGGAACTTACGAATTTCCAAGAGAACAAACACCGTCGCCAGCTCTTCCGTTCCTGTGTCCAGTTCGACGACGGCGACGAGTACCAGGAGGCGAGGTTGGCACGGAAACGTGCGCGGTTCCCCTCCGAGCGTTGAAACTGATCGTCGCTCGGCTTTCCTCGACCCTGACAACGGGCAGCCCTTGGCTTCACTCTCTCTCTCCAGCTTTCGTTATCCTTCGTTGGACGGTGTTGGTCGGGCTCAGGTTCTCGAGCTTGTTATCGAGACAAGTCGAACACACCGAGGCACGAGCCGACCATGGACACGGACGATTCCTCTCTCGCTATGGAAAGAGCTCTTTCGCTCTTTCCCTCTTTCCCTCTTTCCCTCTTTCCCTCTTTTCCTCTTTTCCTCTTTTCCTCTTTTCCTCTGTGTAGTTAGAAACGTGATCGTTGCTGGTAAAAGCTGGAGGGCAACCAAGACGGTGACAACGTGACGACGACGACGACGACGGAAATCACAAGAACAAGAGAAGGAATCGGAGACGACGATAACCGTGAAAAAAGAGAAGTAGGCCGGTTAACCGTTCAGGCCGCACTGACGATTCGAGCAGCAGCTAGTAATGGTGAACTGGCCTGGCATCCCCTCTTAACTTCGCTCTACTCCACCTCCACCCCCCATTCTCCCCTCTGCCAATCCCCCTCTCGATCCTCTAGCCCCTACGTTCCTCCTTCTCACCCTTGGCTCAACTACCCCGCTGCTGCACGTCCACCCACCTCTCCGACGCTCCTGGCCCACCCCTGGTTCACCTTCTTTCTTGCGCACTATCATCCGCCAACCTATTCCTCTCCCTTATTCTCCTTTCGTTGCATCTCGTTCCTCCAGCTTCTCTCTCTTTTCTTCTTTCAACGACGAAAACTCTGCCATAGCGTCGCGTCGCGGCGTACCGATCGAACCAACCATATCGCAACTAGCACCCGAAACCTAAACAGATACCTACAGATACCTACAGATACACGCGAATCGTCCATCGGAGTTGTCAAAAACTCTCTGTCTTTCCTTTCCTATCCTTTCAATTTCTTCGCTCTCTACTTAACGATTTCTAGATGTAACATCGTAACCTTGAAATTACCTTGACGCCAGAATCGTCGACCGTCGACCGTCGACCGTCGACCGTCGACCGTCGACCGTCGAATCGTTTCTCGATCAACCTGGATACATACATGTTGTGTTCGTTCGCTGTCTTTCGCTCCTAAAGATTTCTATCAGTGTTCAACCTACTAGAACACAAATATTCATCATCGTCGAACGGTCGAAACATTTTCCTTCGACCCTAAACCATCGAATCGATCGCTCAAGGCTACTATGTCATAAGTCTTTCAGCTCTAGAACGCCGCGTCAACAAAAAAAACATACGGTGTTGTACATATGTAAATATACATACGTATGTACATACATATATCCCCGATGGCTGCAGTGACCCCCGTTCGTTTGTCGCAGTTGCTGGAAATTCCGTTCGAATGCCGCTGGCTCGTCGATTTATGCCCGGTGGTATCCACTACCTGACCAGTAGTAAACCTTCTCATCCTCGACGGGCAAATTAATTACAAGATAAGTCGTAGAGAAAGAGAATTTCATGCAGGCGTATAGCTGGAAACCAACGACCTCCAAACTTATGTATGTCACCCCTGCCACAGAATTTCTACGCGGAGAGAATACGGGAGTAGGAGAGTCGTTCACCTACCGATAAAAGATTATTTTACAGGTTTCGAGCTTTACCAGTCAAAATAAAACAATTAACCTTGTTATAATCTTTAACTTGAATAGAGATTACTCTTTGGTTTATTTTACGAACGGAACGAAAACTGTCATCTAAAAATATAATGAAAATTAGCGATAGAACGCGGATCGATAATGTGAAATATAGTCGATTTTTACTGTGATCTGGTTGTTGGGTCCGTAACAGCTCCCTTAATATGTAAAACGTGCCCGTGACGAGGTTCTCTATTCGTGCGAGACACTTGTCCGCAGGCAAATGAATCGATCGTTGATTTCGCGAAGCAAAAAATTCAGCTTGGTCCTGCTGAACAGTTTGAGTTATCGATGCGATGCGTAGCTCCGGAGCACGGGCATAGATCGGCTACCAAAGGATACGCGTGACCGGTCGTTATCCAAACACGAATCAACGAACCGTGAATTTCCATAATTTCGAGACGGCTATTTTCGCTGGCCATGAGATTCGCCGCATGGTATCGATCGTCGACGGCGTAAATACACGACGGTTATTGAAAAACTAGAATCGGAGCAACGAGATAGACACGACGCGACGCCAGCAGGATGCTACCCTCGGAGCAAATAAACTACAAGGATCGGGTTCCGCGTCCCGTCCACCATCCCGCCTCACCAACCAACCAACCAACCAACCAACCAACCAACCAACCAACCAACCAAGAAAAACGATCGCAAGATCTAGTCCGCTGGTAAACTACCTTCCACCGAGCAACAACGATCCGGCCTAGATCGAAATAAAATGCCGGAAAATAGAATATAAATTTGTTCGCGAGGATGATCGATTCGTCGAGTAAAATTTCCTTCCTTTACGGACCTTGATAAAGAAAAACACTTTGATCGATTCTACCCACCCGAGCCCCGATTAATTCGCGATCGAATATCTTGATTGTCTATCGAACTCGATTATATTTCTTAAAATACACGACAATTGTTTTTAAAGATTTCTAACTGAATTTATTATCTTGTATTATCTTGTGAAATTCGTGTCCTAGTTGGCTGTTGGTGTGCATATGCGCGTTAAAAAGTACCTACTCCGAAACGAAATAAAGTTAATCGCGAGGCCTGGTGAACCGAGTGCAGCGATTTCACTATCAATAGAGAAAGACTATCTTGGAGCACGGGATCCGCACCGTACCCCTCGTTACGCGAACGAGACAAATCGGTATTTCACATCTACCGGACATCTTTCGACTTTATTCCTATCCGATAACATAGAAACGTAATTTAAGGAAACCCGTAGAAAATTCACTGGTTCGAAATACCAAAATAGAAATTTCTTTGCGCGCACCTACGATCCTCTCGTTACATATTTCTTCTTTTCCATTTTTATTTCTCTTACTCTCTATATTTCCCTTTTTTTTCTCTCTCTTGGCTCATCCGTAACTAACTAAATAATTAAATAAATAAATAAATAAATAAATAATAATAGGACCGATAGAATTGACAGCTAACGGGATACGTTGCTAACGGAAAGAGAACGTTCGTAAAAATCGGGGTTTACGATCGATTCGAAGAACGCAACTGTGCTGGCAAAACGATCTCGTGATGGATCGATACGACTCGTTGTTTCGTCGATCCGATTAAACGATCGTACCTTGGATAGAGGGAATCCGATAAGAGATTGCAAAGTTCGAGAAAACGATACCGGACGATATATAACGGACGATCACCGACGCAACCCAGTAAGTACTTACTCGGTCGAACATTCTGCGATAATCGAAATCGTAAGTATTATATTTATGGGCTGATATTTAAACCAAATTCTTCTCCCACCGGTCTAACGAAACACGGTTCACTATATTTTAAACCGTCCTGTCAACTTGTCTACGCTCACATCGGTATTTATGTACATGGATGGATTTTATTTTATATCGTGTACTTTTTATTCAAAGATTGTAATTGTTAATAACGATTATAATTAGAAGAAGAACGGGAACGATAACGATAGAGATTAGGAAATAAGCGTATTTTGGCTAGGAATCTAATAAAAAAAAAAAATGATCGTTCGAAACGTATGAAAATTTGAGTCGCGAAAAGTAAGAGTTCGTTAAGGTCCGTAACGTAGAAAGGAACTCGCGCGGTTTAATTAGACTAGGGCGAAATGAAAAGTTTCAAGGTTCGATTTGCCGGCCAGCGTTTTATCCGCGAAGAAAGATTTCGGGAAGAAAAATAACGCCGCTAAAAGAAAGAGAATGTAAGGTTTAAAAAATAATCGCAGAGGATATAAGAACGTCTCCGAACACGTTCCTCGTTTCTCTTTCTAGTTTTTAATTTCGATCGATTACTCGAGCGATTCGATTCGATTCCGGAGACCGAGCTTCGAGCTTCGAGCTTCGAGCTTCGAGCTTTGCATTTTCTAGCTGTGCCTTGTTTCGCTTCGCAGGAATATGCATCTCTCCGCGGTACTGATCTTGGTCTCTTGCCATGCATTTATGCACGGGGAAGTCAATGGGGAACGTGAGTGTTGTCTCTTTCTCCATCGGAATCGAACTTGTTGCTCGGTCTCGTATCAACCTAACGGTTCTTATCCTTTAAGAGAGCATCGACATCGAGGATTATGACACCAAAGGTGGAATGCTTGTTGGATTCCTTGAGAAACTTAAGGATACCCTGAAGACCGGAAATCAAGACTTGGGCATTCCCGTTCTCGATCCTCTTCAAAAGGAGCACGTGAACGTGGACTTGAACGCGAAAGGAGTGATCGAGTAAGTATTTGAAAAAGTAGCCGACGCGCACGCGACGCGAGGCGACGCGAGGCGACGCGAGGCGACGCGAGGCGACGCGAGGCGACGCGAGGCGACGCGAGGCGACGCGACGCGACAACGGGTTTCGGTCAGTATCTACTTACAAAAAGGATATTTACCAAAAGGATCAACACGATCGTTGGTTATTTTCGTAAACAGATTGAAAGGAGCGTTGGATAATTTTCGCGTGCACGGTTTATCCTCGTATACCGTGAATCAGGGAGACTTCAAGCTGGCTGGATTTCTAGCAAACATCAGTCTTACGTGGAACGAGATCGATCTTATGACCAAATACAACGTAAACGGAAAACTCGCCGATTTAATATCCATCTACGGAGACGGAATTATTATGTAAGTTTAATATTTATCGATTACATGATTTAAACGCATCGTCCAATTACCGGTCTTCCATTCTACGCTCAAGTAGGTACATACGTATGTATGTATATCCTTTTCCCGTTCATCATGAACGATCAAACAAACGGTAGAAATATGTACATATACGCTTCTTGTTATACCGTAAACCAAAAGAGACACGAAACGAAACTTAGAAACGTTAGAAGAAAACGTTTAAATCGATCGAGTACGCGTCCCTGTCGATCCACGGATGGCAATGTAGTATCCTAGTGACTGGAGGGAGGAGGGAGCGTTACCAACATCGAATACAAGCGTTCTTAGCTTGCTTGCCTACACCGCGCGAACCAACTCTGACTCCTCTACGGTTACAATGCGTTTCGATCGTTTGATCGATATCTCGGAGAATCCTGACTATCCTGTTAATAATATGTACCTACCTAACAGGAGAATTACGTGTCAAAGAGAGGCGTGGAATTGATTCGTTTCACGTAATTTTCAGGGTTCAAGGTAAAGATCTTACGGTAAAGGTAGACGTGAAACTGAGCATAAACGATGAGAGGAAATTGTATGTTAAAAACCTGAGCTTGCACGTTCATTTGAAACAACTTCAAGTAAGTAGAATGACTCCCGAAACGTTAATCTTTCGAACGAAGCAACAACATGATTGCCCAACGCTTTGCCTTTTTCTCTCTCGTACAGTTTCAAATCACCGGATTGAATAACGACGCAGAACTCTCGAAACTCGTGAGCAGCATCGTTTCCGATATAACGCCACAACTGATCGAGGACTACCAAGAACAACTCTCGCAAACCGTCAGCCCGCTCGTTATCAACGAGTTGAACCAACTCCTCAAGGACATGACGCTGGATAAATTGATAGATATAATAACTGGTAAATCTTCACCGGCGTTGAGTTAATACGGACAAAAATATCGAAACGGACACGTATGTAGCTACCTAAGTGTCCGTCCTAACTTACGTGTACTTTCGACCGACGTGTCGCGAGAAATTACAATTTAAACATTCCTAATAAAGAGATCATTTCCTATCTTACTCGTGACATTTTATTCATCCTAATTCTTTCCGATACGTTCGATCGTTTGGATGTTAGACGGGAAACATAGGAAACGAAAGCGAAATAGTTGCGAGAAAAGGTTGGACATTGTTTCGTGCAGCGGCCAATATTTTTCAACTTGGACGAGAGCAACGACAAGCAAGTTCGTTCATCTGCAAGTCATTTCATCCAAAATCGGATGCTCTTCGAAGCAAAATATCGAATTTTTAGCGACGCGTAAACGTATAAACGTATCTCGAGAAATAGTAAAAAATTTATGAAATTTCTCGATCGTACATATAGCTGTTTGAACCGTAGTGCTAACGTTTTTCAAACAACTAAACGGACGAGAAAGAGATTTTTGGATACCGAGAGACTGAAAAAAAAGTTTTCTTGCGATTTTTCTTTGGTGGAAAAATGCCGCGACCCGAACGAAACTGGTCGAGTTCGAGCGGCAAATAAACATCGAAACGGACAGCTGACAATTATTCCGATCGAATAAGCGAAACGGCTTCCTCCATGGGACACCTCTGAATTTTTCTTTTTCGCCGACTAAATTTTAACACCTATCCCCTGTCGATTTTTCTTTAAAATGTCTTTTTCGTTTCAATTCTACCGTAATATCGGAAATGTTGTTCGATACTTTGCGCTACTACTCGACTCGTCTATTTCTATACCGCGTCTGTTCACATACATCTAACAATTAATTTGGTTCACGGACGATGGGGGGAAGTAGAATTCATGGGTACCTACAAAAAAGTACTAAACAACATTTCCGTAGCGAGTCAAGCAAATTGATTAAAAATCAAAAACGAATTTTTAAGAAAAATCAACAGGGATAGATGCTGAAATTTTCGGCGAAATTGAAAAATTTCAAATCGTTCTAAAAAAATTACTTTCACTTGCGGGGGTCAATTACAATCATTTTTTATGAATAGACATACCCTTAAATTCCTACGCACTTTTTTCGGACCTTTTTGTCCTACGACGTGATCGGGTATCAGAGGAATAAAAATTGGCACGCGACTCACCAATCTAGAATGTAAGCACCTCGTAAGACGACGAGGCTACTGCCGTCAGCGAAGTCAGCAACATAGTCAGCAGCGAAGTCATCCAAGAGGTTCTCTGGATCCTCTGGACTCGAGCTTTTTCCCAATTTCGGTTCAATTTCTAATAGATACATACTTGTTAACAATTGAGAGTAACGATGAGTACTGCGAGCGATTCGGAACATTTCGATAACAATAAATAAAAAGTACATACTCAATTAGGTAGACGCGAAACCTGTCACTGTACCGCATCGCACCAGTTTCCAGAGGACGAATGAGGAGCAGGGAGCAGGTCCGGACACGTTTACAGCGCGAATTTGGGGGCGCCGGGTATGGGGAGGTGTCTCGTCACGTAGACCAACGTCTCGACTTATGATGTGTACTATATGTATATCTTCGAAAGAAAGGTTAACACCATTATATCTCGAATAACTGAAAATAAATAAAATAAATAGAGGTATACCGGAGAAATAATTAATTACTTGATCATTTATTATCGTTATACTGTTGTGACGTCAGAATGCAAAGCAGCCAATCATTGGCGCTGCTTGACCATCAAAACATTAATATATTAATATTTCATCGAAACTTTAATCAATGCTTTTGATGTAAATTTGTGTGACTTGAACAACAATAGATGAAAAATATGTATAGAATACACAAAAACATTTTTTTTCCCACGATATTTGTACTTTACATCGTAGGATATTGACTCCCATCAAGTATATGTAGTTCCAGTCTATTACTCGTTTGTTCCTATTTTTTTATGTATTCTATAATATGTTTTAAAAGTAATTTTATTCTTACCATTGCTAGAATTCGTAAGCCAGGGTCAGTAATCGGATACGCTTGTTGTCTTCCGAACGCTCGGTTAGGTTGTGTTTATATTCTCGGTCGCCGGCCACTCGACTTCACCTTGGAGCTGGTGGCCACACGAATTCCTTAATTCCTTGTCCGTGTGATACGAAAAAGTATTGCTTTACCCGTCACTGGTATGCATTGTCTGTGCCTTGATCCATGTGTTACGTAAAAAATATTGCGTCTGACGTCTACTCCACATTTCGTCTATGCCTGTACCAGACTCCTTACCATAACTGTGCCAAGTTTAGTGTTATCGACACCTCGTCGAAAAAGATTGCTATGAAAATCTAGTGAGAATTAAAACAAATATCTTTAGAACATTTAATAGAAAGAAAAGAAACTTTTATATGAGATACTGATTGAAATTTACGATGAAAGTTAATATTTACACATACGTTTCTATCATTATAATTAATATATTTCAATCGATCTAGTTACTTCTGTATCTCAAAACAAATCGATATTCGATGGTCAAGCAGCGCCAATAATTGGCTGCTTTGCATTCTCACGTCACAACAGTATAACGGTAATAAATCATCAAGTAATTAATTATTTCTCCGGTATACCTCTTATTTTATTTATTTTCAGTTATTCGAGATACATATAAGGGTTAACCTTTCTTTCGAAGATATGTACACATGAAAAGTCGAGACGTTTGTCTATGTGACGAGACACCTCCATACCCCGAGCCCTCTCCCCATTAAATTCGCGCTGTAAACGTGTCCGGACCTGCTCCCTGCTCCTCATTCGTCCTCTGGAAACTGGTGCGATGCGGTACAGTGACAGGTTTCGCGTCGTCTACTAATTGAGTATGTACTTTTTATTTATTGTTATCGAAATGTTCCGAATCGCTCGCAGTTACGGATCGGCTTTCCGCGTTAGTAAAATTACTATTGCGTATTATTTAATACGCGATTTTATTAGCGTCACGGAATACGAATATTAATCGGGGTTGCTTCTAGGATAGCGTTGCGACTAATATCAATATATGTACTTACATATATATCATGATTGATTACTGTTAGAGTCGAGAAGAATAAATATTTTTCGCGTTTTCTTTTAGAGTACATACATACTTAGTGTCGCGAATAAGAATTGATAACGGTATGTCATTAGCGTCGCGAATTATGAATTATTCTATTTAAACGAGTTTTGCGAACGAGTTTTCGTGTTTGAAACGGCTGTGCTTAATTATTAATCGGTTGATCGGTTCATTACTCAATCTTTGGGCTCTGTATACTTTGGGCCGTATAGCTTTTATTCCGTAAAAAAATAAAAGAATTCCTGTACTATGATCGGTTTCTGTAGGTTGTTGGTAATGTTGCGCGTGACATCGATAGAATTATGGGGCTTTAGAGCCCAAGAGAATTAAATTGAATATAACGTCTGCTCGTTAGCTCAGCTGTGTCCCCGTAGTGCGCGTGACGCAAATAATTTACTCGCGATCCATCTGGAGCTGCCCTCTTACGTCGTCTTGTGTAACGAATTGTCTGTCGTTCGAACCCAGACACACGGTATACGAGTTGACAGCTTACACCACGGACGAGGTACTTATACGAGCAGACTTTTCACCTTATAGGAGTTTCGCGGCTGAATCTGACTGCCATACCGACCTCACAATTCCAAGTTGATTTTAGCGGCCTCCTCTCATGGATGGCGGTCAGTTGAGAAACTAGGCACTGAATTAGTTTAAGTACTACGTGTAAATGCATACGAGTTTAAAAGTACGAATTATTCGCGTTTCCTTGACTAGTTAAAGTTGTAAATAATTTGCTGAAATCAGTCTATCCGCGGTTTCTATTTCAGGCATCCATCGGGTTCGTAATATGTATGTACCAACAAGCTTCGCGAGACATCGGAGCTTCCCCCACCCCGCCGCCTAATTCGCGAGCGTTGCCGAGCACAGAGGTCGGCCATCATTCATACTTTGAAAATAAACATAGCAAGACGTGTCGAGACGTATCGGCGTTTCGCGACCAAGGTGCGTATTTCTAACCTCTTTATATGTACTTCCACTATTACTGCTCGCCTATTATGATGTACTACTTACGATCTCTTGCAATACGGTTTCGATTTAATCATTACTTAATTCTAATAATCGTTTGCGTACTTTAATGCATCGTTATGTATTTCGTTTCTGTTACAGTCTCTTATTGGAACTCGAAATTAAGAAATAATAAGACTTGTTGGAACCTGCCAAGACGTGTCGGCGTTTCGCGACCAACGAGGTAAGTACATACTTACCTACATACACGTCTTTCTAAACCTTTTAATATCTCTTCGTTATTATCAATTATTGTTTAATTATGATTTAATTTCTATTTCATTTCTGTTGCAGTCTCTGATTGAAATTCGACGCCATGGAAAATTTCATTGGCGCGTAAAGTAGTACACCATAACAGATGGCAGGCGAGTCGACAAATTTTTTGAAGGGTATTATTGGTAACGTTTAAATAATTACAATAAAAATTTACATCCATATTAATATTTATCGCTTTATTAAGTTATCCGTTGCAAGCATGATTTTAATTTTGTGATCGGTCATTGTTAAGATAAAATATTAAAATAGTTAACAAACTTTCTATCTACTTCGATATACATGTATCGAAGTATAGAAAAATGGCGTCGGTAGATATCAACGATAAATTGCAATAGTTTATATTAGACTGTATTCTGATCGCGATTAAATATTTTCGACTATTATTTATTCAATTGATCGTTTATATCTCTTTATGAATTGTTGTAATTGCAATTTGCATATATGTATATTTCGATGCAAGTTTAAGAAAACGTAGTAACTGCGTAAAAAATTACGGGATATTCTAACGTTCGATAAAATAAATATAATCATGCTTACAACTCTAACTATGAAACTTGGTGATATATGTAGTATTTATAAGTTGAAATTCTCATTGATTGGGAATATTTCGCCTTCGTGGCATTGATCTTTTACA